GGGGTGAATATTCATATATTCATGTTCATATACCGTAAAAACAATCCCTTTCAAAAGAAATTCGTCGGGCAGAACACAAATATATGAATATAGTTACACTGCCCCCCCCCCCCTAATTATCGATCTAGCTACGGCCCTAATAAAGCAGAAATACCAAACTTTAAGATATAAAACTATATTAAACATTAGATCTGGATTCTGGAATAAATCTTATAATAAAGCCTTATGATAATACCGGGTGGCCCAAAAAAAAGTACTCCTGTTTGATTCGTAATAACTTCTAAACAAGTAAAGTTTTTAAAGAGAAATAACTTGCATTAAATAGAGGAAGGACCAACTTAGATTTTGATATGTTACAGTTGTATTTAACTTAAAAATTCACGGATATATTAATGTTAAAAATGGGGAGCATATTTTGGAATGTGTCTAAAATTAGCGAAAATCGGCATATCAAATATTAACTCCAGCGTTTGTTTGCTTAAGGACATATTAGGCTAACTTGTATTTCAGCGAATTATCGTTAAGGTTTGTAAGGGATATGGCGTAGATTTAGACATCTTACATGTAAGTCTTAGCTCATTGTTTCCTGAAATATGAACGTTCGAAATTATGCAAGTATTTAATATTAGGTCTTTGCAAACTTAAATGTACATGAAAGACTGACCATGGAAGGCAGGCGCTTAAATTTTTCGTATTCTTAAATAGCCTAATTTTTTTATGTTTTTTAATGGGTTCAAACAGACTGAGTAGATTATTTCTCGGTTAGAGCAGGATGAATATTCTTTATTGAAGGAAATAATATTGCTTTTTGCAAATACACATCACCGTATCAACGCTACTATTTTGTTACGTTTTGTTCCAAAAATGTTGCATGTCTCTGGGGAGTTGCTTAATTGTTATGTCTTATGGAGTTGTATGGTTTGATTGTGTTTCATATAATTCTCAGTTTACTCCATGAACTTGCTAAGATTAAGAAACGGCAAAAGAGTTTGGGTGTTCTTAACAAGATTTCAGAACGTTGCAGAAGTTAGAAGAGCTTCACAATTCCGTTGTGACAGCATGCCCTAATTCAGAACTACGAACGATCCAATGACGATCCTTCACGATGCAGTGGTCTCATGAAATAAGGAAACGTATTCGTGCTAGGAACACACGCGAATTTCGGACGAATGAATCTTGTTTGTATTTTGTAGATATAATAATACTTTGTTTCATAATAAACAATTT